AGTTTGAACCCCGGTAAAAAAAAAAAAAAAAAGAAAAAAGAAAGAAAAAAAAAGTATGAACTTTAAGGTACGAGAGTTACACCTTAATAAAGCTATCATTTTTAGTGGGGTGTGGTAGCACATGCATTTCATCCTAGTACTTGGGAGGCTGAGGCAGGAGGATTGCTGCAAGTTTGAGATCAGCCTGAGATACGTAGTGAGTTCAAGGCCAGCCTGAACTATACAGTGACATCCTGTCTCAAAAAACAAAAATGAGCCAGGGATTTAGCTCACTGGTACCATACCTGCCTCAGAAGCGCAAGGTCCTGAGTTTTATCCCTGGTACCAAAAACAAATAAATTTTTAAAATGTTAAAAAAATTTAAATAAAGCTATTTAAAGAAATACACCAGTACATGGAAAAAGAATGAGGGAGGCTATACCTTGAATATTAGTGTTTATCTTCCCACAGTCAGGTTCCTGGTGTTTTCTTTTCTTATGAAGATACATTGCCCCATCTTTCTGATAGTCTATAACAGACTTTATTACTTGGTAACCATAAATTAGTTATTTTTGGCTGTTAAAGGAGGCATGAGTCGGTGTGCTAATGTAAACCTGTAACCCCAGCAACTCAGGAGAATGGACAACTTAGTGATATCCTGTCTCCAAATAAAATAAAAAGGGTCGGGTACCAGACATGTTGGCATGTAATAAGTAATTACAGCATTAAGGGGCTAAGGCAGGAAGATCGAAAGTTCAGCCCAGCCTAGGCAACTTAGTGAGACCCTGTCTCAAAATTTAAAAAGGACTCAGTGCAAAGACCCTGGATTTGATCCTTAGTATCACAAACAAAACAAAAGGGTTGGGGATGTAGCTCAGTGGTAGAACACTGGTGGGGACCCTAATTCAATTCAATTCTGCCACCTCCTCCCTGGAGACAGTACCAGGTCCCACAGGCTAAGCATTGGTCCCCAAGGACATTTCTCATGCCACTTAACCTGCCCCAGGCTGTTTTACTGACCAACTAGCTATAAATCAAGTTTTCCATGATCCTCTCGTTTAACAGAATAGCCCACGACACTCAGGGAAACACATCTGCTGGATTATTACGAAGGGCACAGATGAAAAAATGGGGTAAGAGGGAAGGGGCATGGGCCTCTCTCAGGAATCTTCCTGCGCTCGTCTCTCTGTGAAGACTTCACTGCACATCTAGCGCTATAGCCCAGGTGAGGGAACCCAGCAAGGCCTGTCTGTTTAGATTCTTCGTGGCCTCTCTGTGCAGCATTCCTTCCCCAAGGGTATGGGGCAGCACTGCTGAAATACGGGTGCTATAGTCTATCAGATAGAGTGGGTCAAACAATTTCGTTATAGCCAGTGGATCCAAGGTGCCTAGGAAATGGACGCTTCCCTTACCTGCCTTGGGGAAGAGAACATCTAGCTTCTATGACCTGCTAGGGGAAAGAGTTATAAGTCAGGAACAAATGAAGAAAACTAGAAAATATATATCCTACTCACACAGAGATTTTCAAAGTGCATTTTCCAGTGCACTGAATTTGGCATAAGTCATAGACTCCTGCAGCGGGAGGGCACGAAACTGTCTTGAGTTGCCTGAGGTACTGACGTAGCTCTCATGTTACAGGGATAATCCAGAATGTTCTCTGCTTTATCTTATTAACCTCTTGCTTTAATTATATTTTAAAAGTAAATCATTCTTACAAGTCAATGGCGTAGAAAGCAAAAGGAAGAGATTATTTCAGAAGAAAACAACTCAAAACAGAGCTGCCAAGTGCCGTGTGCAGATGTCTGGATTCTGACTTGAATGAAGCAAGTGCAACAAAGCAATGAAGCAATTTCAGAGATAATCAGGAATTTCAGGGTGGACTATTAGGTGGCATTGAATGCTGTTATCACACCTGTCCATGACTTTCTGTAACTATATCATCTATGCGACTAAAAGCAAGACTTCTCTGTCTCATTAGAGGAGATAGGTATAGAATAGTGGTTGGGGCATAAACCTTATTTGATCTTTTGTGTGTGAACTTGGGCAAGTTGCTTAATTAACCCGTGGGGAAAGATAACCCAATTCATGGGCTTGATTTGAAGAGTGACTGCATTAATATTTGTAATGAATCAATAATTTGTCACGTACTCGTATACTTGTAAGTTATTGGTTCAGGAATCTTCCAGTTATACTATATGATCTACATGCAAGCCGGTGAACAAAGAAAACCCAAAGGCCTGGCAGATTCTGCAGCCCCTACTGCCCTAGCTACAGACGGGTTCAAATCCCTACTACTAGTGTGGTGTGTGCCTTGGAGCCACACCAACCTCTCTGGGCTTGTATTACCTTCTGGGTAAAAATGAGGCTGTAACAGGACCCACACCAGGCTGGGGAGGCCCAAAGCCAGGTCCCCCGCAGCCTACTCCTCCCAGTAGCCCCTGCAGGTGACTCACTCTTGTTTATGGCTTCAGGTCCCCCAAGCCTTACCTGCTCTCCTGTTCTTCGGGCTTGTTTTCTTTTCTTTGAACCCAGGGCCTTGCACATGCTAGGCAAGGACTCTACCGCCACCCCCACATAATTAAACTGGACTCTTAACTTGCTTGCTTCCGATGTAAGAGGGCAGAGAAAGGACAGACAACACACAGCGAGGCCCGGAGGGGTCCAGCCAGTTGCCCAGTGTCAAGCAACCACAAGTATAGCTGACAGGACTCCTGGGGTCTGGTTTCCGAATTCACTCATCAAACTACCCTTAGTCCAAAGTTCTGTCGTAAAAGCCCTCGGGAAGCTTGCAGAAGCCAAGCCTCTTGGAAAGCGGTTTCTAGACCCAGCTGAGACGCGCCCCACATCACGCACTGATGGTCTCGCTCGCCTCTCCCCGCCCACCTCGCGCCCCGGTGCACCCGGGGCTGGAGGACCTCGGGGTGGAACCCCCAATGCCGGGACTAGGCGTGGAGCGCGAGCCTTCCAAGCGTCACTGTGCCCCGCACCCGCAAGGGCCGATCTGGTCCTATGTCCCGCGACTCATCAGGGGCGCCGGTGACACCGCAGTGGCTCTGAGCGGCCGGGTGTAAAAACCGACGCTGGAGGCGCTGGCCCTGGGATCAGACCGGGGCCGACAGCTCGCGCCTCGG